CATCTTAGGGAAGGTCCCAAATTTACCCCAAGATTTGGTTTGGTACAGAATACCGTAGCAGGTGTGGATGAAAAGCAGAAATTATCTGAACAGACATGGGGCCTATTCACCTAAACGTATTGTTTACATTTATCCAACATTAGTTTCATCGTCAGTCGTTCAGTAGCCCGGCACATTCGCCATCTTGCAGGAAACATTGCACTGGAACTCAAGCCATCACAAATCACCCTGCTGAATTAAGTAGGGCTGCCTGGCTAGGACTGTAATAAACCTAATGCATTTATATTGCATCTACATTAAGTTCTAGTTACGCAGAAATCCTTTGCCTTTAGATTCTTACAATCTGTATGCCAGGCGTGCTTCTTTGGAACGAGAGCACGAATCACCTGTTTTGTCAAAAGGAGCTCTTCTGGCCAGAGTTGCACCACATTAAAATGCAAAATCCCATTATTTACCTAGACACATACTTTGAAATAAAACAAATTAAAAAAAAAAAACAACAACAAAAACAAAAACAAAAACAAAACAACAACAAAAAAACAAACAAACAAACAAACAAACAAACAAAAAACATACCACAAAGCTTAAGTTGCTTTGCAGATCCATCCTTCTGCCTCCAAACCAACCCAGACCACAACAGTCTGGTGAAGGCTCCTATTTACTGCTAAAATAGGGGAGCAAAGACAGGAGGAAATCAGAAAAACAGAGAAAGAGCACACCATACAGAAAATGTCAAATATGTCAAAACATTCATGAATACCAACATCTCCCTCTGCACCATAACCAGCTGTAAAGGTTACTTAGGGCTAACGTCTCAGCAAGTGCAGATTATGCAGCAGTGGGTTTACTTATACATAAAAAATCAGCTACAGGTACATCCGAAGTGCTTTTACGCATGCAGCCAGTACTGGGATTTCTATCACTAAAGAAAAGTCAGAAGGGTAAAATCACATAAACCACAAATTTTCTAGCTTTGACTAGCCTAGACATAAATTCCTCCTGGCTGCTCTCTATGTATATGACATATGCAATGAGGATAATTAGGTAAAGGACTAAGAAAGCAAGTGTTGCTGATTGCATTCCAAAACTAATAAAGCTCCTGCCCGGGTCTCGTGCCTGCAGTAATTCATCTTCCCAGCGCCACGGCCAGGGAAGGCGGCTTCGGAATACGCCGCGACACTTTCTTGTCCCTAAGTCACCAATTGTGAATTATACCGGAATTACGGCAGGCAAGCGGAGTTGTATGGAACTCGGAGCATAACACACGCGAGGCACACATTGCGTTGTCCGGGGCCCTCAGATAAACGAAGCTTAAATTAAATGTCACGAGCTGAATACGATGTACTGTATAAGCAAACACCTGACCTGAATTCACCCCCCATTTGTTTGTCAAGTTTGTAAACCCGAGTAAGTTTTGGAAAATTATGCCTTAGCGCAATCTTCTCATCCTTCCACATCGGGAGGAGAAAGGTGTGCGGCTCTGGAGGGGAACAATGAGACCGTCCACAGCGTGGTTGTGTGGGGGCTCCACTGGAAACAGAAATGTGACTTTTAGGTGAATAAAGCAAACAGACTCCATTTTTATGCATCGGTGCATCAAAGGAGAAGATGGTGCGATCGTACTGGCAAAAAAAAGTTGGGTTCAAATCAGCCCAGCGGCCTGATAATGAACTACAAAAAAAGGAAATCCTGCGGGAACAAAACAGAATGGGGTTTGTCTGCCTTCTCACACCAGCCAAGCAGAAAAGGCAGTAACAAATTTCATCATCGGCACGGAGCTAAAACAATTAGGACAGTTACTAATCTGAAAAACTGTATGCCTACAGAAGTAAAATCTTGTAATAAATCCTCCCATTGATTCCACCATCTGAAAATTATTCCTTCAGCTCCATACTCTGCTGGGTGAGCTTCCACCCCGAGCATTTTTCTCAATGTCTCTGTACAGCGCTGCTCTCTCGCTTTCCTTCCTTCCTTCGCAGGGCTCTGCGGCGCGGGGAAGGCAGGGGCTGCTCTCTCGGGGGGCCGGGGTGGCCCCCCGCTCGCTGCTCGCTGGGGTGAAGCCCCCTCGGAGTCCCCCCACCCCTGGCAGTGTCCCCTCCCGTGGCTCCGGACCCGGCCCGGGGTCCCCGTGTCCCGCAGGTCACGCTCCCCCCGGCCCTTCGCACCGAGCCGTGGCCGGAGGGATGCGGGACGCAGGGAAAAGCCTGGAAACCTGCGGGAAGGTGGGAGCTGGGGGGGAAAGCCACGGCGGGGGGGGGGGGGGGTGGGGTGTAAAATAGCTGCCAAGGCAGAACTTCTGCTCTCCCCCCTGCTGCGGAGGATTAAGCGAGTGACAAAAGTTGCCGCGAAAGACGCCGAGAGAAGCGCTTGGTGAGAGCAGCCCTTGGCTCGGGGGACAAGGGAGGGGCTTGGGGAGGGGGGACCCTTCACGGAGGGGTTAAAGCCCCCGCGCCCCGGCTCAGTTAAGCTGCGCCCAACTCCGCGCCCGCGCCCCGCGCAGCCCCGCACACGTCGCACCCGGTTTTTATTTCTCCTTCCAACTCTCTCTGCGCATCCCTCGCCCCCCCCCCCCCCAAGCCCCAACCCCCGGCAAACCCCCCGGATGGGTCCGTTCCATCCCTCGCCCCCCTCCTCGGGGCTCGCCCGCCCCTCCCGCTGCGAGCCGCGGCTGCTGGCCCGGCGGGAACCGGCCGGGCCACCGACCGCAGCCCGTGGCCACCGGGCCAGCAGCCGCGACGGGGGTGACCCCCGGGGGGAGTCGGGGGGGGGGGGGGTGTGGGGAGCACAGGGCAGCGCCGGGCTGCGCCCCGCCGAGGGGGCGAGGGGCTGCAGCCGGGGCCGGCGCGGCTGCCGTGGTTCCGCGGGTGCGGAGCGGCCGCGGAGGGACGCGCGGTCCCTCGCTCCCGACATCCCGCCGGGCCGGGCGCTCCTCAGCCCCCCACGCCGCGCCCGTCCGTGGGTCCTCCTGGGTCGGGCAGGGCGGGATGAGTGGCCGAGAGTGGATTAAAACTGGTTTCGGGGGTGACATCCCACCCACCCCCCCCACACACACAAACCCCTCGGCCGACATTTCTTTTTTTCCTTGACGCAAAAGGCTGAAGTTTGCTAAATTCCCAGGCGTGCCACCGGAGTTTCGCTTCCTCCTCCCTTTCCACGCTCGGGGCCGGGACGCGGGTGGAGCGCACCCCCCGGCCCCCCCGGGGCAGCCCCGGCTCCGCCGGCCCCGGGAAGTTCCGCAGCGCGGTGCTGGCCGCGGTGGTCCCAGCAAAGCCGGGTACTGGGAACCCACCGCCGGAACCTTCGGGGGGGGAACCCAGCACCCCGCTTTGCTCCTCTGACGGGGGATGGGGGGGGTGGGGTGCCCCATCCCGCCCCCCTCAACCCCACCTCTGGGGCCGCGGGACAAGGTTTAGAAATTTAGACCCACGCCCCCCAAATCAAAGGTATTTGCCTGAGGAAATCGCGCGGGGAGCCCGGGGGGGGGATGTGTGGGGGGGTGGGCTGCCACGCCGCGAGTGTGGATGCTGCGGAGACCTGCCGCGGCAAAACAAACCCGGGAAAGGACCAACCTGGCAGCCTCAGGTTTCCTCCTCTTCCTCCCTTCTCCTCGGCCGTTATTGCTACAGGGCCAGGGGCTATTGTCCTGTAGGGGCAAGGGATGCTGGTGGTGCTGCTTCTCGCTTAGACAGAAAGAAGACGAAATTCTATTCGTTTACATGTTTTATTGTTGTAAACATTAAAATTGTCTTTCTCAAAGAAAGAGCTATCCGGAGGAAAAAAGAAAAAAAAAAAAAAAAACAAAAAAAAAATAATCAGCGTTTCTAACTGTCGTACACCATAGAAAAAAAGGCAGTGACTTGTATCATGTGCCATACTGGAAATATACAAAGAAAAAATACTACAGAATATGGCAATATTAAAAATATTACTCGAACACAAAATAATATATTAACCGACAATTTTAGACATAAAAAAACGGAACAAAACAAACCAAAAATTCAAAGTGCTCAGTAATTTCCAGGGAGTTATGTATATTATAAGCACTCTGGAAACAGTCAAAAGCTGCTGCATGCAAGATTTGTTTAGCTTTAGACAACAAAATAATCAAGATATAAACTTCTTTTTTAATCAACATCAACAGTACATACAACACTTACAAACAAGGAATGTCGGACGGTGTTTACAAACACTATGTGTCCCTTTGGGGAGGATTTCGGGTTCTGTAATACTTGTGCCCACCTATTTTACAATTGAGAAAATGTTTGAAGCTTAGATAACTACCAGTCTTTATAAAAGCTAACAGACTACATAGTGTCTGAAATACTATTTATAGAATATAGACATTACTGAAATAGCAAGTGCCTATAATATCGTCACCCCAGAATCGTCATGCTTTCCTGGTATGGAGAGATTTATTTTTCTTTCTATTCTCCCTTTTTTTTTTTTTTTTTTGCAAACATGTTTAGCTTTGATTTTTAATTTTTTTTTTTTTTTTTTTAGAATTGTTTCCCATATTTCTTCATAAATAGGCACAGAATAATTTTTAAAATGCCAAACTGCATCTGATAAATTTACAAGCCTTCGCCTTCTTAAATGACATGCCACCCACGCAACATTTAGGTTTTGTATATATTACAGCTTTCTTTTACAGCAGAAAACTTTAGTCTTTAGGAGGGTGAGACTTGTGGGTCACCTTAACACTTTGTTTGTCACCGCATGAGTCTTAGCTGCGCACCCGGCGTTGCCAGATATGTTCATCTTTTTAATCAGAAGTCCTTAATAATAAATTCATTTATAAGCTGATAATAAAAAGTTTATACCATGGTATTTGTGTAGTCCATGATCTGCATCCATGATGCCCCAGAGCCAAAATGCCCATTGACGTTCTGCCTGCAGGAGGTTTGCAACACTGGTTTGGGTGGGAAGCTGGCACCCAGGGGTGCTGCTCTGGGCCCAGGCGAATTCCCCCTCTGACAGGTGAAGTTCCTCTTCAGTTCACTGGAAGTGCATGGGAAGGGTCTTAAAAAGGTAAAGTGTCCAGAAAAAGTTTGTCGATTATTGCTGGCGGTGGCACCAAATCCTCCAGTTTCAGGTAGAAAATGCGCTGCAGCCCCTGCGTGCAAAGCGTGCGCAGTTCAGGGAGCTTCCCCAAGAGTTTGGACAAATAGTTGGGGCGATTCAGCCCCCCGTTATTAAAAGTCACATGGTCTTTGAGACAATTTACGATCTTGTTCTGAAGTTCTTCCACCCTCTTGGGTTCCTTAAGCCCGTGCCTCTCTGCAAAAGAGAAGGATGTGGCCGTTACGGGTCTGGCACGGAGCGGGAGGCGGGCGGGGGGCTGAGCAGCAAAGGGGGGACACTGACCTGTGACCATAGCCAGGGCAGCGATGCAAGAGAAGGCAGAGATATCGATGTTCATGTTTTGCAAGTTGGAGGAAAATTCAACAATGGAATCGATCCACTCCCCAAAGCCGCGGACGCACTGCAACCGGTGCAGGACCACCCCATTGCAGAAGATAAGCTTGCCCTCCACTGGATTTGACCTGGAAGGAATGTGACAACCCCAACATGAACAGATGGATGAATGAGTGAGAAAGGAAAAAATAGGTAGGAAGAGAAGGAAAGGAAGCGAGGGGAGAAGGAAGGAAGGAAGGAAGCGAGGGGAGAAGGAAGGAGGGAAGGAAGGAGGGAAGGAAGGAGGGAAGGAAGGAGGGAAGGAAGGAGGGAAGGAAGGAGGGAAGGAAGGAGGGAAGGAAGGAGGGAAGGAAGGAGGGAAGGAAGGAGGGAAGGAAGGAGGGAAGGAAGGAGGGAAGGAAGGAGGGAAGGAAGGAGGGAAGGAAGGAGGGAAGGAAGGAGGGAAGGAAGGAAGGAAGGAAGGAAGGAAGGAAGGAAGGAAGGAAGGAAGGAAGGAAGGAAGGAAGGAAGGAAGGAAGGAAGGAAGGAAGGAAGGAAGGAAGGAAGGAAGGAAGGAAGGAAGGAAGGAAGGAAGGAAGGAAGGAAGGAAGGAAGGAAGGAAGGAAGGAAGGAAGGAAGGAAGGAAGGAAGGAAGGAAGGAAGGAAGGAAGGAAGGAAGGAAGGAAGGAAGGAAGGAAGGAAGGAAGGAAGGAAGGAAGGAAGGAAGGAAGGAAGGAAGGAAGGAAGGAAGGAAGGAAGGAAGGAAGGAAGGAAGGAAGGAAGGAAGGAAGGAAGGAAGGAAGGAAGGAAGGAAGGAGGAAGGAAGGAAGGAAGGAAGGAAGGAAGGAAGGAAGGAAGGAAGGAAGGAAGGAAGGAAGGAAGGAAGGAAGGAGGAAGGAGGGAAAGGAAGGGAAAGGAAGGGAAAGGAAGGGAAAGGAAGGGAAAGGAAGGGAAAGGAAGGGAAAGGAAGGGAAAGGAAGGGAAAGGAAGGGAAAGGAAGGGAAAGGAAGGGAAAGGAAGGGAAAGGAAGGGAAAGGAAGAGAAAGGAAGGGAAAGAGAGAGAAAGGAAGAGAAAGAGAGAGAAAGGAAGGGAAAGGAAGGGAAAGAGAGAGAAAGGAAGGGAAAGGAAGGGAAAGAGAGAGAAAGGAAGGGAAAGAGAGAGAAAGAGAGAGAAGAGAAAAGAGAAAGAGAAAAAGAGAAAGAGAAAAAGAGAAAGAGAAAAAGAGAAAGAGAAAAAAGAGAAAGAGAAAAGAGAAAGAGAAAAAGAGAAAGAGAAAAAGAGAAAGAGAAAAAGAGAAAGAGAAAAAGAGAAAGAGAAAAAGAGAAAGAGAAAAAGAGAAAGAGAAAAAGAGAAAGAGAAAAAGAGAAAGAGAAAAAGAGAAAGAGAAAAAAGAGAAAGAGAAAAAGAGAAAGAGAAAAAGAGAACGAGAAAGAACGATGAAATAGATGAGAGTGAAATAGAAAAAAGAAAAAGAGGGAAAGGGAAATAAAGATTAAAAAAAAAAAAAAGAGAGAGAAAAAGAGAGAAGATGGGGGGAGAAAAGCTAAACAACTAATTACTTGAGGAGCAATAAATGAAGGATTTAAGAGGCACCTAATTACCGAGGAGTTAATAAAACGCAGATCAGTGGACCTTGAAAAGATCTGATTTCATAACCACCCCCAAGTTCCCCCCTCGGGTTCTGGGCGCTTACCTGTACGCCAGCCGCAGCACGAAGAGCTCCAGGAAGGCGGATTCAAAGAGCAGGTCCTGGTCCGTCTTCGGAAGGTCAGTGAAGCCGGGGATTTTCTCTGCCCATCCTCGGATGATCTCCATGGAGCCGGTCAAGAGATCATAGAACTGCTGGATGTGCTGCGTGTCATCTCCGCTCATCTGGTAGTCGGGGTTAGCCTGGAACTGGAAATTCATTTTAAAAAGCACTTAATGAGGTTCTCTAAAGTATATAACCCGTGAAATTGCTAACCCCGTTCCTAGCCGGGGAGCCGGGTTTTTCTAACAATTAAACTTCTCTCTGACCAGTAAGGAAATGAGCTGTTCCGGGGGCGACCGATTCCATTAGGAGCGGCGCGGCCGCGGCTCCCGAGCGGTGTCTGCGCGGCCCGATCCCGGGGCAGGGCAGAGCCCCCCTTCCCCCCCCCCCCCCCCCAAACACTCACAGCCCCCCCGGCGGGGCGGGCAGGGCAGGGCAGGGCAGGGCAGGGCAGGGCAGGGCAGGGCAGGGCAGGGCAGCCCGGCCCTCCCTCGCCTCTCCCCCCGCCGCCGGGCCGGCCGCCCCCTCCGCGGGTGGGCGCAGCGCGGTCCCTACGCGAGCTCGGTCCCGCTTACCCGGGAATAGTCCAGGCTGGTCATAGCCGGGTTGGAGTCGACATGGGCTCTCACCAGCGCACTGATCAGACTCACCGGGGGAGAGGGGGGAGAGGGCTCCTGGGGGCTCTTCGGTTTGGACGGCAAGCGACCCCTCCGGCCTTTTAGGCTGTCTGTGCGCACCACTGCAAGAGAGACGCTGCTCAGCCGCCCCGCGCCGGGCCCCGGGCTCTGCGCGGCTCTGCGCGGCTCTGCGCGGCTCGGCTCGGCGCGGCGCGGCGCGGCGCGGCGCGGCCCCGCGGACTCACCCTCCTTGACCATGCCGACGGCCAGGCACTTCTGGAAGCGGCAGTACTGGCACCGGTTGCGGCGGCGCTTGTCCACCGGGCAGCTCTTGTTGGCCAGACAGACGTACTTGGCGTTTTTCTGCACCGTGCGCTGGGGGGGGACACACGGACGGGGCGGTCAGCCCCGCTGCCCTGCCACCACCACCCCCGCTCTTATTTCCTTTTCCCCTTTTTTGTATTTTCTTATTATTTCTTTCCCCCTTTTTTTTTTTTTCCTCCTTTTTCTTTTATTTTTTTCTCATTTTTAAAAAATTTTTCTTTTTTTTATTTTTTTCTCTTTTATTTTTTCTCTTTTTTTTTTTTTTTACTTTTTGTCTTTATTTTTTCTTTTTATTTTTTTCTCCTTGTTTGCTTTTATTTTTTCTTTTTAAAATGTTTTCTCCTTTTTTCTTTTTTTTTTTTAATTTTTTCCTTTTTTAATTTTTTCTCCTTTTTACATTTTTTCCTCCTTTTTTTCCCCATTTTTTCTCCTTTTTTTTAAAATTTTTTCTCCTTTTAATTTTTTTTTTCTTTCTACATTTTTTCTCTTCTTTTTATTTTTCCTCTTCTTCTTTTCATTTTTTTTTTTTTTTTTTCCCCAGGGCCTTTACCAGGAGAAAATTGATAGCGTTAACATCCGAGCTAACCTCGCAGCTCCTAGCCGTGTTTTATATGCCGAGAGGAGGGAAGGAGACGCTCGGTAAATACAAATCCGTGGGCATTCATATTATTTACATCCCTCGGAGACCTCCTCTATTTAAAATGATAAGATTATTCAATCAGGATGGCGAAATAAAGAGATCACTTAATTTTCCCACCGGGAATTCTGTTCCACCCGGCCGGCTCCGCCGCCGCCCCCCGTCCCAGCAGGTTCCCAGCCGGCGGGGGCCGCGGCCGCCCGCCCCGTGCCCCCCCCCGCCGCCCTGCCCGCTCACCTTGAAGAAGCCCTTGCAGCCCTCGCAGGTGCGGACGCCGTAGTGCTGGCAGGCCGCGTTGTCCCCGCAGACGGCGCAGAGCCCCTCGTTGGAGGGGGACCCCCGGGAGGGCGGCGAGGGCACCTGGCTGTCCAGGAGCTGCGGAGCGTGGCCCAGCTGCAGCCCGGGGAAGGCCATGGAGGGCTGCTTGCGGATGGGGTTGGGGACGGCGAAGGCCTGCCCGTCCACGGCGTGGTGAGCCCCGGCCGGCTCGGGGTTCATGGGCACGTGGAGGGGCCCGTCGAAGCGCATCTGGCAGCTGGAGACGGGGGTGCCGGGGGGCGACTGCTTGAAGGAGAAGAGGGAGAGGCGGGAGACGGGCGTTTTGCGCTGCTCGAGCATGTGCGTGGTGGCCACGTAGTTGGGGTGGAAGTTGTGCAGGGAGCCGGGGTCGTCCCACACGGGGCCGTGCTGCACCTGGAAGCCGGGCGTGGAGGGGGTCGGGGGCGACGAGGGCTTGTAGTAGACGGAGCCTGAGTGGGACATCATCTCCTCGGACTGGGGGGGGAGGTGGCTGTGCTGCTGGTAGCCGTGCATCTGAATGTCTTCCACCTTAATGGAGGACTGCTGTCCGGACAGGGGCATTTGGTACAAGCAAGGTGGCTTCACGTCGTAGCTTGTGTTGTAGTTGTCCATAAAGGTACTGAAGCTGGGGAGAGAAGTGGTGGCAGTGATTTCAGTGTTGGTGAGGTCCATGCTAAACTTGACAAACTCCGGAGTTAAGAAATCGGAGCTGTATTCTCCCGAAGAGTGGTAACTGTAGCTCTGGGAGGCCGGGCTGGCTCCTTGAGGCGAGGACCCATACTGAGCCTGAACACAGGGCATGGCTGGAAACGAAACACGGACATATAGACTCGGCCCGCACAACCGCGCTCCCTCCGCCCCGCTCCGCGCCGTTCCGCGCCGGGGACCGCGCAGCCCCGGCCGGCGGGGTGGGTGATGGAGGTGGGGGGGGGGGGGGGGGGGGGGGTTGGCGCGGATCGAGCCGCGGAGCCGCGGGAACGGAGCGCACAAACCTTCCGCCGCGTTAGAGGCGTTGTCGGGGGAGCTGAAGGCGGACAGTGTCGGAGGTCAGCGGAGTTTCCGCGGGTTTAGAGCGCGGAGGAGGAGCCCAGCGCGCCGGCTGAAACACAGACACGCGGAGCCGCTCGTGGGATGCGCAGGGAGCCGCGGAGCCGCTCGTGGGATGCGCAGGGAGCCGCGGAGCGGGGCAGCCCCGGCCCGGGGGTGCGGAGGGTCCCGGGCAGGGCGGGCTCAGCCGGCGGCACCCCCAGAGCCCCCGAGGAGCCGCGCTGGCTTCGGTCCGGGTTTGGGTTTGTTTGGTTGGGTTTGGGTTTTTTTTTTTTTTTTTTATGGGGGAGGGTGGTTTGGTTTGGGTTTTTTTTTTTTGTTTGTTTTTGGAATCGGGAAGAAAACTTTCCACGGGCGGGCTGTCACGCGGCTCTGGGACAAGCAGCCCGGTTTGCCCCCCGGGTTTTGGGGCGAGAGGAGCCGGTTGGCTTTGCCGTCCCCGCCCGTAAGGAGAGGGAGAGCCGGGCGTGGGCTCGGCAGCCGCGCAGGACACGGGTGACAGCGAGCCCGGGTAGGAGCCGCAGCCCGCCCGTCCAGCCTGGCGGCACCACGGGTGACGCGCGTCCACGGGCGGCCCGTCCCGTCCCCTCCCGCCCCATCCCGGACAGCGGGACCCCCGCGGCACCTCCCGGGCTTCCCACCCCACCCCACCCCACTCCCCCCCCGGAGTGCTGAAGCAGCGCCGGATCCCACGCGTGACGGCAACGCGGAGCCGCCGTGGGGCGAGCGGGGTGGGTAGGCGGACTGCGCGTGGGGCTGCGCGCGTGGGGCACTCACCGGAGAGCGGAGACCTGTGCATGCATCCAAGTGCCGGGCGGCGGTCGGGACCGCGGGGGGGGTGGGGGGGGTGGGGGTGTGCGGCCCACGGGCGCGGGTGGGGAGGGGGGGGGGGGAGCCCACGGCACGTCGGGGCTGCGGCGGGGAGCGCGGCGGCGGGGAGCGCGGCAGCCGGAGTGTCCCTGCCCCGCAATGTGCCTTTGTTTATGTGGGGCTCCCTCCGCCACAGCCAACGTGCACCTCGAGCCCCCGCGCGTCACCGCGCGTCAGCGCCGCGCCCGCCCAATCAGCGCGCCGAGGGGGCCGGCCTTCCCCCGCCCCCTTGGCCGCGCGCTCCCTTTGGTAAATTTCCGACGGTGACGTCACGCCGCGGGGACACGCCCCTCAAGGTGGGCGCCCCCACCCCCCCCCCCCCCCCCCACCCACCCCAATCGCGACGGCACGGGCGCCCACACCGCCGTCGCGACCCCACGCCCCCTCGCCACCGTGTCCACGCGCGGGTGGGGCGTGGCCTCATTTGCATAGAGGGCGGTGGCGTCACCCGCCCGGCGAAAGGGAAAAAGTGAGAGTGGGGCGTGGCGGCGCGTGTCTCCCACCCACCCACAGCCACCCCCCCACCCCCCCCCCCCTGCGTCACCATTGACGCAACCACCCGGCGCGCCAAAAATAGCGCGCGCCCCGACGGGAGCTCCCGGGGCGCGGGGAGCTCCCGGGCCCCGGGGGGCGCGGACCCGGGGGCTCCCCCCCCGCTCCTTTTTGGGGGGAAACCCCTGCTTTTTGGAACACAACCGGAGCCAAGAGCCGTACATCATCCCCGTGCCGCCTTTTATTTATCGCCTCCGTTCTTCCTTACAAACGCACCCCTTTTCCTACCCCACGCGAAAATCTAAGCGGTTTTTATTTTATTTATCCCCCCCGCCCAGCGCAACCCCCTGATTTGCATCACTAAAAGCACAAGTTTGGGTCAGCGCGGGCTGGAGAAAGTGTCGGGGGAAGGGGGGGAAAGGAAGCAAAGCAGAGCTGGTTTGGCATAATTACAGGCACTGCATTTATTAAAAACCCATCAGGAATCTTAATTTTGCGGGTCTGTGCAGTGTGGGCTGCGCTGGCGCGGAGGGATCTGGTGGGGTCGCTTGGCCTCCTCGGCGGTGGGCTCTGACACCCACTCCGGATCCTCCCACGCGACGGGACCCTCTGCTACGGCCCAGCCTGTGAGAGGGGGGAAAAGAGAAAAAAAAAAAAACAAAAACAAAAAAAAAGCAGAAATCACATAATGGCAAAGTGTGAGTGCCGCTGTGTGCGGAACGACTGAGCGAAAGCCAGCGCACCCACAACCTTACCCTGAAAAGCCAACAAAAGCCTCGCCTTGCCTAAAAACCCCGTGAAGCTCTTCAGTACGAATGGTTTGTGTGCAGCTCGGCTCCTTCCCTCCCTCCTCACACGCCTCGCCTGCTGTCACGCTGCCACCGCTCTCCCCCTGCCAGCGCTTCCCCGGGCGCGCTGCTTCCCGCCGCCCGGCTCGCCCGCAGCCAGGAAGATCGCTCCCACGTCGGGGTTACGTTCTCCCGCTCCTCCGGAGTCACTCCCGAGCTCTACCCGAGGGGACGAGGCGGGGGGATGAGCGGGGGAATCCCGTCCCCCCCCCGGCTGCGGGGGGCTCCGCGCCCCCACCCACCGCAGCAGCGGCCCCTTCGCCCGCCCCGGCGAGAGTTTTGCCATCACAGAAGAAACTTACTGCAAAGGCCCTTATAGGGATAAGTAACACATCTAATTACCATATCCTTAGAATAGATGTAATATAAATTTCATTACTCACTTAAAAGTTCTAAAGTTAACAGCATAAACTTGAAGTTGGGTAATTAAGTAATCCTTATATAGACACTTATTAAAGTATTTATACATATTATCTTAAATCTACATCTATCATTTTGCCAATTAAAATTAGGACTTTAATTGCAATTAAGTAATTTAATTGCCAATTGAACAGCAAAATTGCTAAGTGACTAATTTTAATGCCTATTTTAATTACCAATCATGACTGGGGAGGGAGCTAATCAAGCAGTATCAGAGTAATGATGTGAAAAAAAAGGCAGAACAAACATTCAAGACTACATGCTTTTAAAAAAGAACTCTAAATTAAATAAATGCAAACACAATTTTATACATGTGGGGAAATGCTGTATTTTGGTATCCAAGTACATGAGCACAAAGAACACATTTAATTACAAAGAGCCGTCGCTCGTGCTTCCCCCGGGGTGCTGACGTGCCCCTTCTCCCTTGTTTCTGCGCTCGTCTCCCCGGAAGGGAGCCCCAAAACTTCATGGGGCGGTGGGCTGGGCCCCCCGAGGAAAGCCCAGCTTACAAAGGAGAAGTTGGGGAGTTTAAGAAGACCCAGACGCCCTCTGACACCAGAGACAGGGAAGCCCCGGCGGCCAGCGGCCCACCCGTGCCGCGGGGTCCCCCTGGGGAGCGTTCCAGTGGCCACGGGACCCTCCCAGCCCACGGGCCGGTGTCAGCTCCTTCCCCTGTGGGACAGCGCAGGAACACGCACACGCGTGTGCACACACGGGCACACGCGTGCGCAGGCGGAGGCGTGCCATCCCGCTTCCCACTCCTTCCCGCCGGTGGGTAACGGACGCAATGGTGAATCCCAAGCGGTTTTGACCCTGAATGGCCCCTTACAGGGCGACCGACCCCAAGCTTACTCCAAAAGTAAAAAAAAAAACCACCTTCCCGAAAGGCTCCACCCAGCACTAACGAGGTTTTTCCACTTCGCAGCTGGTTGGAGCGGCTTCCACAGGAGGATGCACCGGAGCTGACCCCACAGGCCGTGTTTTGGGGACCCTCCGCACGTGGGCCCCCTTTCGCGGCCCGTCGTTCTCGGCGAAAGCGCAAAACTTCACCTCGTTCCTACCGGCGAGCGCAGCGACTTCGTGAGGCCTAGAGGAAAGTTCCAGCGTTTGTTTAAGCCGGGGCGGCGCGGGAACCGGTTCGTGGCGCCTGCGGCTGCGTACCCCGGGCGAGCGTTTCGGGGTGACGTTTTGGGAGGGGGGAAGCTCCGTTTCCTCTTCAGCGGAGCAAAAGTTGAAGATTTAGGAAAGGGCAGCGGCCGTAGGGGGGGGGCGAGGCATCAGGGGTCCCCGCTCCAGGCCACGGCACCGTCACCCTGCCCGGGGACGAGGTGGGGAGGAGGCAGTGCCAGCCCCCCCGGGGCCCTCCCCGCTGCCTCAACACACGCTGCAGAAGGATGTTGACACTCATATAATATATATATATATATATATATGAAACATATAACGCTGGTGCTACCACTGGGAGAGCCAAAACGAGTCGTTATCACTCCAGAGAGTACCTGCCCGAGGGAAAAAGGTAAAAGGACTAGAGCAGCTTTTTGTCCAGCTCCACTTCAGCCCTCCTTCCCGCGAGGTGTGAAGCCCCCAGGTGCAAGCCCGGGGCGGCGGGAGGGGCGGGCGGCACATCCAGCACCAGTGCCCGACCAGCACCTCCTGGCCCCAGCACCACCAGGGACGAGCCGAAGAGCAGCATCTTCACCGCGGCGGCCGCCTCGCCGGCGCGGACCCCCCCCCCCCCGCCCCACCCACAGCGGGTTCCCCCTCGGGACCGTCCAGTTTCCCCACCGCCAGCAAGCAGCTGGGCCGGGAGCTGGGGGGGGGGGGGGTGGTTTGGGGGGGGGGGGGTCGGATGCCGACGTGAAGTTCGAGCCCCGACGTGAAGTTCAACTCCCAACACGGCGTCCGAGCCCCCGACGTGGTGTCCGAGCCGTCCGAGCGCGGAGGGGGGGGGGGGGGGGGGGGGTGCTTATCGCCAGACTCGGGGGCGAACGCAGCGGCTCACCCTCACTCCGTCCCCCGTCCCCCCCCCCCGTATTTTCCTGGAACTCCCCCCGGAGCGTCCTTCTCCTTTTTTTCCCGCTCTCAGGCCGCTCCCGAGGCTCAGCCGCGCCGGCAGCACCAGCCGCGTTTCTCACGGCAATTTTTATTCCCGCGTAACCGGCGATTTCTCTGTGGTCGGCTATAACGCGGTGTGTCGTGTGTCCCCCCCCCCCCCGCCCCGTTATTAACTGCCGGGTCCCAGAGCACAAGCCGCGGTTCGTGGCTCCCGCGGCCCGGATGGCTTTGGCCGCGCCCGCGGAACGGCCCGCCCCGCCCCGCGCAGCCCCGCGGTATTCCCGGGCCGCGCCACATCTGGCCTGGCCGCCAATCCAGCTGTGCGGGAACCGCTGCCGGGCCCGCTCCCCGCCGCCCCCCCCCACCCCCCCCGCTACCTGCCTCCGCCGCCGGTGCGGTGCAGCGCGGAGCGGCGCGGAGCCCCGAGCGCGGAGCCGCGCGGAGCCGCCGCCAAGCGCGTCAGCGCCCGTCAGCGCCGCGGCCGGTGACGGCAGCGCGGGCGGGAGCGGCCGGGCCGGGGGGGTGAGCCCGGGGGGGGGGTGAGCCCGGGGGGGGGGTGAGCCCGGGGGGGGGTGAGGCCGGCGGAGGCGGCCGCGGGCGCGCAGCGAGGGGCTCCCTGGGGTGGGCTGCGGCCGGCTCTGCTTTCGGGCTCCTTGTTGCCTTTTCCGGGCCTTTTTTTGTTGTGTTTTTTTGTTGTTGTTGTTGGTTTCTTTTATTCTCTTTCTCCTTTTCTTTTCTTTTCTTTTCTTTTCTTTTCTTTTCTTTTCTTTTCTTTTCTTTTCTTTTCTTTTCTTTTCTTTTCTTTTCTTTTCTTTTCTTTTCTTTTCTTTTCTTTTCTTTCTTTTCTTTTCTTTTCTTTTCTTTTCTTTTCTTTTCTTTTCTTTTCTTTCTTATTTCATTTTATTTTATTTTATTTTATTTTATTTTTTTCTTTTCTTTTTTTTTCTTTTCTTTTTTTTGTTTTCTTTTTTCTCTTCTCTTCTCTTCTCTTCTCTTCTCTTCTCTTCTCTTCTCTTCTCTTCTCTTCTCTTCTCTTCTCTTCTCTTCTCTTCTCTTCTCTTCTCTTCTCTTTCTTTTCTTTCCCTTCTTTTCTTTTTTCTTTTTCTCTTCTTTTATTTCCTTTTATTTCCCTTTATTTTATTTTATATTTTTATTTTCTC